CGATACCTTGAGAAAAGATCTGCGTCCTCTCCCTGATGTCCTCCTGAAGGTACTCAACCTGATGCTGCAGATCCAGCCTCAAGTCCGCCATGTGCTTCACCACCACTCCCATGGCCTCGGCATCTCTCTGAGACCTCGCCTGCCTGATTCGTGAAAAACGAGCAGCCTCCTCAGCAGCGCGACGAGCCTCTTCGACAGCTCGCACCTGCCTTGAGCTCCTCTCCACCTGAGCCGCCAAGGCGTGAATAGAAAAATTCACCTACCAAAAAGAACCGAGTGATCAAAAGAACCAACAAAACGAAAGCCAAAGAGCTCTAAAAAAGGGAGAACACTTATCACCATGGCATGGGTAACGGCACGACAGGCCACTTGATGCAGAGGGAGATTAGTCTACGCCGCGACCTCTTCAGGGAAAATGGCCTCCTTACTCTTTTGAAGAGCATGGGTCGGCGACAGCACACTCCTGAAATCCCCCGGGGCCCCTGAGCCTGAGGGCCCAGCTTGCGTATGAGTAGACCCGGAGTAAGCAGGAGCACCGGAGTATGTAGGAGCCCCTATGTAAGTAGTCTCAGCATAAGGGACCCCTGTCGGCTCCTGCATTGGAGGAACCATCTCGAGCTCCTTGGGCAAATCTTCTGATGGATAGTTTGGCACCTCGGGCTCCGCATCCCGGGGCATCTCGGCGCGAGTTCGCTTGGCAACCCGCTTTCTCCTCTTCATRCCTTGRAAYAAGTGCCCACCHCGGGTCSYTCRMGARTCCATCACACCTGCGAAAAGAAGTTCGCCATCAGTAAAAAGCAAGAAAGACAGCAAGACAGAATCTCTAAGTGAAGAACCTACCCAAGCTCAGGCTGGCCGCAATGAGCTTGCCCTCCGTCAGATACTGTTGACACTTCAGCCCAAGCCGCGCCCATTGTCGGAGGCCCTTCGTTGTCTCTTTGTCAAGCGTGACCCCGGAGTTAGGAGTAGCCATCCCGCTTCCATGCTGGGACCTTGTTGGAGAGTTCATGTAAAAGCTTAAAGCCCGGGCGAGGAGACAGGTAGTATGCCCGCTTGCTTCTTAAGCATCAAGATTGAAGAAAAAATCTCCAAGTCCAAAGGAAAGCTCTCTTCGCAAAATAAGGAGATTGTCCCCACCAAATTTCGAATGGAGTTCGGGTGAAGCTGGCCGATTGTCACGCCGAAGTGGTTCAAGACTTCGACAAGAAGGGGATGGAAAGGCAATCGCAGCCCCGCGGCGAGCTGCTCCCGAAATATCACGATCTCATCAGGACCGTGTTCCCGAGGAAAGCTACCCGAAAGTATATGAAATAAGCGTACTCCCCGGGCAAGTTATAGTAGGTAATGAGGGATTGGAGCCCCTCGGGCGTCATGGTCGAAGGACCAAACTTGTCTAACATCCGACCCCGACGAAAGGTGGACGCCAAACTACCCGAAGCGCCTTGGCCTACAAGTTTGAACTCTTCCTCGAGCTCTACCTCCGGCTCGCTAGGGCTATCAGGGGATGCAACTTGGTTCGTAGAACTTGCATCAGACCCGCTGGAAGGATTATCTGAGCTATCCAAGCTAGAAATCGGGGAATGAGATGGGTTCCAAGAAAGTACTCACCCGAAAAAGGCTGTAGACCACAGAAGCTCAGACGAGCAGAAGACCTTGAACACGAACTGAAAAAACCTGGACGCGAACTGGATGCGAGCTGAAACTCAGATGCGAGCTCGAGAGAAATACAGAAGTGACAGCGACTGGGGTCCCCCCCCGCTATTTATACTCACAGTGATCGAAAAGCGACGGCTTAGATCAAAGCCAATCCGACGGCCCACAGCCACACTGACTGCACGTCCCCTGAGACCGAGACGTGATTGGCGCACGTCTTTCTGAAACTGACAGAGCGCCAGCGCGCGTCTTTTCGAAACTGACGGAACGCCAGCGCACGTCTCCTCAATAAAGGCGGCAACGACACGTTTTTTTTTTCAAATTTGAAAAGACGCC